CCAGCTGGCGCACCAACGCCATAATGCAGTTTGTTCATGGAGCCAAGCCAGGTACGTTCATGTGGTGTCCAACTTCGATCAAGGGCCACAGAAGGAGGACCTCTCACCTAACAGGGGCAGCAGGAATATCCCGTTCACAGCCTGCAGCGGGGAGGATGTTCGTTTGTTCCAGATGGCACACTGGCAAAAAGGATGGCTTAAACCACTTACACAGAGTGACAAAAATCAGATTATCTGGTAGCCAATAACTGTAGCTATCAGGTTAGTTACAGTTCAGATCTATGAGCATTATTTATAAGAACCAGTTTGATCAGAGGGAACTAACTGGAAACTTCTGTGCTGGGAATTTCCCCCCCCAGATCAGTCCATACTTCAGTTGTTCTCATGGCTTTTAGTGGCATGAAAATTAGATGGTTAGTACAAAGGCAGAGGGACAGCTGAATTTTTTTTTAAGTAAAGTATTACTGAATTGGGGGCTGATAACAGAGAGGGGTCTATAGAGCAGAACTCACGAGGAGCGTGAGAGAAGGTAAAGGAGTGCCAGCGACCAGCCTTGGTAGAGCAGTCCTGTATGGGGACAGAAAACACAAAAGCTCATCTCCTGGAAGGAGGTATCAGTAGGTTTCCACCACGTGACCAGCCAAGAAGAAGATGGATTAAGACTGCTGTTGAGACCTGTACACGCTCATGTACATGAGTTTACAGAGTTGTGATGGACTTGCTTTAGATAGAAATGGGGGAAACTAATTGTGAGACCCACCAAGGACTTCCTGAACACAGAGAGTCAAGAAACGAAGAACAAGAAGCAGGCTCGCACAGCTGTGGTTAAGGAGTTATCCATTCTCCTAATCGAATCTGGATGTGATGTGTAAATGTGCTTACAGACCTTACCAGTGCTAAATTAAGAAATGCAGTAAAACAAAAGATAATCTGGTTATTATTTTCAGATCAACTTTCTGGACTAGATAACCAATTATATACAATCACAGCTTCTTATTCTTTTGAACCATATCCTAGTGCTCTATATTAAAGAAGTTTCCTTCTTTCTTAGGAAAGAGACCTGTAATCCAAACATCTTAGAAAGGTTCACAGCTGCTGCAGCCAGCAAGTAACCATGGACCCTTCCTATCTCTTGTGAGACAGCATCCCAGCTAGTAAGGATTTGATTGTTCTTCTTGAGAAAAGCTCAGTCATTAATGTCATATTTCCATTTAAATTGAAACTCTTAGATATATTTTTTAAGAGTTCTGAGCAGGTAAACCAGGCAACTCCTAGTCTGAAAGTTAGAAGAGGGAAAATAATGATCCTTATGAAGGTATAAGTAAATTTGTATTTATCTGGCAATGGAAGATCCAAGAATTTGGTTTTGCCAAGATGTTAATAGACCAGAGACAAGAATAACTATTGTAGCTGGCATGCCTTCTCTTACAACAGACAGAGGTGTCCCTTCAAAAAATTCCATACAACAATCATCAACTAATCATAACATGAATGCAATTGTTTATGGCTATCTAATTGTCTGTAATTAGAGTTATTAGCGGACAGGGGTTTACCCAATCCTTTTACATTTTCAGTATAAATCCTGCAGGTATACTGAATTTTGAATTCAAGGATAAATTTGTTGATGATTTGTTATTGAAGGCAGAGGTTTCTTTTTTTCCCCTGAGTGCCAATTATAATAGAAATAAGGTATACATTTCATTTTTAAGATATTTTTCAAAGACAGTTCTCCTAAAAAACTGTAAGACACAGTAATAAAATGTTTGTAGTAATAAATTTCTTAGCTTCATTGAAAATATTTATGTAACTGCAGAAAGATTTTGAGTTTCTAAGCATCCCGATACATAAACCAGATCTTTTAAGTTTGGCACTAAACTAACCCATACTCTAGCCCATATCTGAACTCTATTCTAAATGTTTTTTGTAATACAGTGTCTAGCACTTGCAAACCTAATAACTTAAAAAAAAATAATCTTGTGTGTGGAGTGTAGATGAGATGCATTAATTACCATGCAGTACAAGGGATATTAGCAGGTAGCAGCTTGGATCTGATTTCTAGATTTTGGAACTGTTGGGGTATATTTAAAACTTGTTACTCTAAATTGTAGCTATTATGCCCAGTTCCATATTTAAGCTTAGATTTTCACTTCCATTTGTACAGATTGGTATTCTTTCAGCTAATGCTGATGATAAGCATATATAAAAAAAACATACCTGAAGACAAGAATATGCCCTGCAGATATGACCTGCAGCTCTGCTGGAATTCAGGTAGCAGATTTGATTCTAAAAATGACACAGTTCTTTCAAAGCAGAGGGCAGAAATTGACTCACATTTTTTCAGAAACTTGTAGTTTATAATTTAAAGGCATGCTGGCATGAAGGAGCCCTGCCGAAAGAAGTTTCCCAGCATCAATAAAAATGAAAAAACTGTTTTAATACAACAGTGCACTTGAGTGTTGGGGGAATATTATACAATTCAACAGACAGCAGTGACCTATCACAGCAGTTCAAAATTTCATGAGGTTTCTTCAAGAGTCCTAAACTCTCAAAGGTCCTCAGCACTCAACTTTCAAAGTCCCATTCTTCTGCACTTCATTTTGAAACCATTTTTATCCAACTGCAATGAGCTTACTTTTTTCCAGTCACATGAAGAGGTGTTTTTGCTGATGTCTCTCAATGTAGACATAGAAAAAAAATCTTTTTGAGTCTGATTTGGGAGGGTGAAGGGAGGGAAGAACAATCTTCTGATTCACAGTGGAGGATGATGAGGATTTAACCCTACAGACTGTTGTTACTTGCTGAAGCTCAGCAATGAGCAGAAGAAAGAAAGAGGCTGCTCAGGAGCACGTCAGCTCCTCCATCACATTGCTGAGTGCACTGTGCTGGTGGGCATCCATGGAGCTTGTCAGGGAAGGGTGTGCAAGAGATGCAGACCGACTGCGTCACCTAGGGATGAAGGAGCTCATCCTGACTGGAGAGGAGCAGTCAGACATGGGTTTGAATGAGGCTTGCCTCCATCCCAAATAAATAATTGAAAACCCAGGCTGTTAGTGACTCTCTCTCCTCCTGCCTCTCTGGCTGGCCCTGAGAAACTCTTCCCCAGCAGCATTGCTTCAGAGCCTTTCTCTACTCCTGAACAAGAATTTTTTGGTGAATTTTTTGGTCAGCTGATAGATTCCCAAACAGCTCTTTCTATAGGACCTGATCTGACATCATCTCATTGAACTTAGAAAGAATGAACAACAGATGCATCATACCTGAAAGCAAGAGATTCTGACCATATTCAAATTAAGGAGGTGTAAATATTGAGGAAAGAACAAGAGTCCTATGGTCAGGGCACTAGTTAGGAGGGCACAGCCTTTCTCAAAACCTGCCTCTGCCATAGCTGTCTTGTAAGATCAAGATAAGCAAACATAAATTAAACTCTCAGTGCAAGAATACGTCATCTGCAAATGGGATAAAAGGGCTTCCTTTCCTCACAAAATACAAGTGCTTTAAAGATGAGGAGGCAGCTCAGAGCACTTCGGTAATTACTAAATACAAAAGTACTGCGAGGAGTTTTGGTAACCAGGCATCTCTGAAAACCAAAGTCTTTGCTTTGTAAAGACAGCAGTGAAGCAAGTGGTTTTAACGTAGCTTTTAAAAAGCTTTGGTAAGTTTAGTTTCCCAGATAATTCAGCTGACACTCTCACACCACTGAACCTGCCAGTTCTGTGGGCTGTAGAGTTAGCAATGTTTGAAGCTGAGTTACAACAACACACAGGCTGAACAAAAGAGCTATCAAAATTATTTCACATAAAACTCCTGGTTTTATTCAACGTAGATTCCAGTAAGGAAAGTAGTAATACTTCTTAGCTTTCAATAAACCCATATTTTTATACTTAAATGCCAGCCCTGATCATAGTCCGTAAAACTTCTTACGCTTTTCTTAAAGCTCCAGGTATTGAAGACAAATAACTATGCAAGAGTTACAACTTTCGTATAAAAGTAGTAATAGTTTTCTAAGTCCTTGCAGCTGCACAGGAATCGCTCATTCTAATGGTTTAAAGTTGATGGTCTAGTACCTCAGCGTGTGGAGACCACCCACAATTAGAAAAACTTGAGGAAGGCAATCCTGAAATTTTACCCTGATGATCCAAAGGACCAAGTTCATGCTGCTCTCATTCCATTAAATGATGTAAAGACCCTCATTACATAAGCCAGTGGAGTCACCCCAGTGACTGATTTGACACAGTGCCCTCAGTGTGTAGTTTGGGTGGAACTGAGCAGCTCCATGGAGATAACCGCTGCAAACAGTGTTAGCTCTTTCCAGGGACTCTTTCTTCTTGTATTCCTTCACTGCCTTCTGCAACAAGCAAGATATTGCTTAACAGTTGTGCCCTGCACATATGCATGTCAGCACTAAACTACTATAAAGTGAACTGACACCTTCCATTCTTTGAGGTTAAAATCTGTTTATTCATTTCTTTCATGTCAATCTTTGTTTCATTATGTCTCCTTACTATACAAAACCCATCATGCACTGGGAGATGAATCACTGAACTTTTGTTGCCTTTTAGCTCCTCTCTGTGAATGTGTAAAGCACTACACCGGATGTTGAATGTCCTAAATCACAGTTTCTACAGCTAAATCCACATTTGTCTGCAGGTGTAGACCATGGCATCCCTGGGTCCTAATCAGTCGCCTCCCCTGTCCAGATCATGACACAGCTGGAGAGCTCAGAACTGGGGTTAATTCCTGGGGCCACGGGGTAAGCTATAGGTTATGCTTAACACAGATTCTTTAACAGATTATATGCATAAAATAAACCCAGTATTTTAGTAATAGATGTGATTTGTAATCACAGCACACCAGTCTGTTGAATCTCAAGTCTAAACATAACCAACAGATGAGGACTCTCAAAGGAATTAAGATGGTTAACTAAGAAGTCAGAAATTAATATAAAATAAAGCTCTTAAATGCATAATATTAGGCAAATATTTGCAATCTAACATCCTTACCGCAGTGTCATTGGTGGTAATGTACACCAACACATCTGAGTTGTTTCTGCTGTTAATGTATCGGTAACAGTTCCACACACAGCTTATCAAGTAACCCTGCAAAGAAAAGAGATTTATTATTCTGTGCAGAAAATAAACCATACACATTTTTCTGTTAGGGCATTTCAATTCTTATATAAATAAGAATATGAGCCTGATTGATAGAACCACGGGACGGTCACTTTCTGGTTGCAGTGATTGTAGGTATGTGTAGGGGCTCTGTGAGTAATCCAACACGGTTCCTCATACTGATAGAGCTGGGGTTGTTCAGTCTTGAGAAGAGAAAGCTCCGGGGAGACCTTACTGTGGCCTTTATATACAGGGGGCTTATAAGAAAGATGGAGAGAGACTTTTTACCACAGCCTGTAGTGACAGGACAAGGAGCAATGGTTTTAAGCCAAAAGAGGATAGATTTAGATTAGACGTAAGGAAGAAACTTTTTACGATGAGGGTGGTGAGGCACTGGAACAGTTTGCCCAGAGAAATTGTGGATGCCCCATCCCTGGAAGTGTTCAAAGTCAGGTTGGACAGGGCTTTGAGCATCCTGGTCTAGTGAAAGACGTCCCTGCCCACAGCAGGGGGTTGGACTAGATGACCATTCAAGGTCCCTTTCAGCCCAAACCATTCTGTGACTATATGGTTCTGTGATTATGGATACTTGTGTTGCACTATGAGCTGCTCCATCTAGGCAGAGATACTGCAATCTAGACCTATCATCTGAATGAAGTTTACTATTCCAGATATTTAATATTACAGCATACTTAATGTAGACTAATTGTTTTGAAAAGAAACAGTTTCTTTGGGCCTGAATATAGCTAAAGTAATGTCATTTTGTGTGTATAACCTCCATTATACTTAAATGAGCAGGTTACGTATGCTGGCTTGCTTTTTTCACTCCTCCCTAGAAATACAGAGAGGTATGAGTTCAGTCAGACAACTCGTTACTCTGCATGGGATTCTGCATACCAGCAGAGGTGAGTTTTACAGCAAAAAATGAAGGTACAAGTTACACTGTGACAAAAGAGAGAAGGTGCTGCAGATGCAGCATGTCTCAGGGACAGCAGCAAAAAGAAACCAGTTTTGGATTCCTCCATGGTAAGGATGTTTAAATATTGTCAGCTGGGGGTTAGTAGTATTAGAAAGTGGAAGAAAACCCCAGTAAAAAGAGTACAAGCATGCTGGGGACTGAAGAATCATCAAGCAAATTACAGGAAACCCTTCTTGTCTTGTGAGTGGAAGTCTGGCCAATAACTATGTGATGATTCTGTATATCACCTGCATTGTTTTAATACTCTGTTTCACTTAATCTGACATTAAATCGATGTATTCCATATGACTGGAATGGTCTGGGGTCTTCCTATTCTTGCCTGACTAGAGAAAAATTGCCAGTGTAAAAGTTTTTATTGAAATCTGAAATTACTTCTGACCTTTTAACTGTTATTACAAATGCTTCATTTTTTTTCTCAGTATAAAGCAAAAAAACTGTTATTGCAGCAATAACCATACCGCAGGATCATAAACTTCACTGGTTTTGTTCTTGGAGCTCACTTGGCTCTGGGTAGGTCTGCTGCCTGGCAAACAACTAGCTGTGTCCAATTTTTTTTTAACTGGTTGGGCAAAGTGCTAACATCCATCATCTCCTTCACCAGCAGGAGAGATTCCATTTGGCCAGCAGAGATGAGCAAAGTGACTGGAAGGAAGACAGGAGGCAGTAACACATGTGGAGGAGCAGGAGTCAGATCCTCAGCAGTTCCTCTGGAGCTTTCTGCTTCCCACATAGTCACACACGACAGTCATGAGGAGAACAATGTGTTTTAATAGTGCCCAACTTATTTTTTTACTTAGTAGGTCCTGCATAGCAATTCTTTCACAGACTTAGCGCGTGCAAATTAAACTGCCAGGGCTGATTGGATTTGCATGTATGTCTCACTCTGCGTGAGTCATATTTTTGTGACTCACTTGCACTGATGACCTTCCAAAAGCCTCTTATCCTTTTGAGCTGCCCTGTGTTTCCTCCCTCTCCAGAGCTGTCACACATGAGCTGTGTTTTTCAGGATGCCACATGACTCACTGATGGCTTGCTTGCAGATCAGGAAGAGTTTTTTCCACCAGGGCCAAGCTGGCTGAAATCCAGTAAGCTTGCTTCCTCTTCTTTACAGCATCTTACAGACCCTGGATGAGTTGGAGGTGTTGCTGACTTTGACAATACTTTTGACCATCAAATGGGGAGAGCAAAAGGCTTCTGGAGTGAGCTGAGTCCCAAGGGAAGGTTAAACTGCCTCTACAGCCCAAGCTATGGGCTATGCAAACTTGCCCCAGGCTACTGAAACAAGTGGAGTAAAGGCATATACATGGAGAATTGCATCTTTTCCAGAATTAAATAAAATGCCTTCGTTAATTATTAATAGTAATAAGTAGTTCAGTAGCTGTCAATGCTCAGATACTACGCACTGAGCAAGGCGTAAGAGCTAGTACAGAACAGAGACTGAATAAAGGACACTTCTGTGGGGACAAAGCCCATCTTTATAAGAAACACTTTACATTAAGCCTACCTATTTACAAACCAATTTCTATACTCTTTCTGTCAAAATCCAAACTGAGGGAAGCCCCATTTCAGATAATACAGTATTATCTGGAAGAATGTAATGGGAGATTTGTTTTTCAATGCTCCCATTCCATTACATGTGGTGAATAAAACACATTTAAGCCCACAATGAACCCCTGCAGCTCTTCCAGCTCTGAGCCCTAGCTCTAATCAGCCCTGCTCCTGCGTGCACGGGCTGTTTCTCAGTGGGTGAGGTCTGTTCCAGCCCTTGAGTTAAAGAGGTCATCAGCCAGCACGCACCAAGTAATTGGCCCCGAGACACTGACCCACATATGGCTGAAAGCAGCGGCAGCTCGGAGCATGTCCTTGTTGAAGTGCTTTGGACATGTGCTGCTGGCCTGAGAATCATGAGTCATGGAAACTTGTTTTCCTCAACCTGTAACTTCTTTAAACTTGTTCCTAATCGTTGTTTTCTACTGATGCTGTTACACAGTTAAATTGGATTGCTGATTCAGTTACCAATTTTTTCCCTGAAAAACTTGGCTGAGGTTTAAAATATGCTTTAAAATATGTGGCTGGACACACAGTATATAAGTATATAGATTTTTCTCTCAGGAGACAAATGTTCACACTTGGAATAGGCCCTACGTAAAAGGCATTAAGTCACTTTAGCCTAATCCACCCTTAGTGGTATTCCCACATACCGCAGCACAGGCTGCTGACAGACACCTTTTGGGGGCAGCCCCAAGTAGCCACCATGTGAAAGGATGGGTGCGCAAGAAGGGCTGAATGTGGAAACAGGCACCGTGCCTATTTCTGCTAGCTTGCAGTCTTCCCCTTTAAATGGTGGGAAATGAGCCCCTAAGGAACTGAAACCCACAAAATTTTATAACCCTGCCTCTCACCGTTGTTATTGCACATGCACTTGTTAAGCGGCATAACAGCAGTGATGTACTGCATGACTTCTGCTCATCAGACACATGCCCGACCAGCTGACTGACCAGCATCTTTGTGGAAATCAGAGGCTGCTGTATCCTGCTGTTTCTTGTAACACAGCAAGGAAAAGTCTGTGCCAATCTGGGTCACAGCAGCCCTCTGGGCAGCTCCCTCCCTGGCAGCAAGTGCAGGGTGAACGCCGCAGACCCGGCAGAGCCCCCTCGAGTTAGGAGCCGTCTGCACCAAGTCCCATTTTATTCTCCAGCTGCTTTGGATTTCTATTTGCAGAGCTGGGCTGGTCTTCAGTAACTGGTGAAAATGAGACAAAGATTTCTACACAAACTGAAATTTATATGAAGACTTCAGAGTGATGCTAATGGCAGACCAGTTGGCCACATGTATTTCACATGTTGGTGCTGCAGAAGAAGAAACAATGGGTTGCTGTGCTGATGAAATCTGCAATTAAATCCATCTTCTCAGTGTGCTAGAATATGTATCTTGTGAATATAAAAAGGCTGTACAAGAACCACTCCTTATAACTGCAAAGAAACGCTGTGATTGAAAAGAATTAATGATGGTAAACCAAACCACTGGCCTGCAACACTTTAAATGGTGCCTTATACAGGCCAGGACACCATCTGTTGGCACACAGTCACACACACTGGGGTATGCAATTTAAAGCAAATGACCCCTGCTTTAGAGATGCTTCTTCTATAAGTACCCTGCTATCAGCAAGCCCAGTGATGGGACCCGTCCCAGGTTTTAGGGGAAGAGGTGGCAACCTCGTGGCTCTGCGCTGGCCATTCCTGGGAGCAGGGATCAGAGCTTGGCTGTTGGGACTGTGTTCATGGTCCCGACTGTTGCTCCATCGCCCCTGAGGGAAGGTAGCAGACATCGGGACGATGTGCTGTGGGTCAGGGTTCCCCCTGCTAGGAGGCAGCCCCCTGGGCTAAGACATGAAATCTCTCAGGGTGAGCATAGAACTTCATTCTGCATCACCCTTTCCCATCTGCTGAGGACACCAGGACATGCAGACTGGTCTCATCTCCAGGCTTGACACCTAGTACACGCAGGTTATAGGCATACTGTGGAGACCAGGGTTAATATTCAGTTTGCTGAAGACCAGTCTGTCTCACTGAACTGGAATACCTTTTGATTGCCCCACTGGTAACTACCTCTTCCTACCTCCTTTCCAGAAAAAGAAAGGGCCAAAAAGAAGAGGAGACCATACTCTGCAGCTGCAGAGTGCTCAGGGCAGCCCAGGGGAAAGGCTTATTCTGGTTGTGTTTGTGGTCCCCTGAGCCTAGCTCATTTGGGCCTGGGGGACGTCTCCCACGGTGGGGAGGTGGCGGTTGAAGCCTCAACCGTTCTGTCTCAGCAGCTGGGCCTGGCCAGAGGAAACCGAGGCCCTGTTCCCCAAACCAGATGCAGAGGAGGGCGTGATTCAAAAGCCACTGTGCTGGCTATATGCCATTTGAAGTCCTGTGTACATGTATATAAATACATTTGTGCTGCTGGATGTTCTTCCTCAGCCAGATAGGAAACACCTATGTTTCATGGTATGTAACTCTGGTTCACTTTCTAGACAAACACAGTAAATGGAATAACACATCTTGGTCTACTCTGAAAAAGATTCTTTGTGAAACTGCCTGAAATATCCATTAGCTGCTTTGGATCCAAGTAAATCCTAAGGACTAAAAAGACAAGTGCTTGTGTGTGGTTAGCTGGCTCGCTTTCTTACTACCCTCTCTTGTCCCCCTTCCCTTTTCACAATCCCACAACTGCAAAGCACAAACCCACCATCTAATACTGCTATATCTTGATTTCTGCTAAATAGAGTTTTCCTTTGCATGTAGCTTCACCCTAAATAAGCATCATGATGCCAAAAGTTTCAGAGGAATTATGTGATTCTGTTTCATATTTCCCACCAGCTGAATGCAGCTTTTCCTACTGTAGCTTTTCCTAGGTTACAGTGTTTTGGTTTCTCTCCCTATTTGTAGTCAAACTCCAGAGGGAGAGGGAGCTCAGGCATATTTTTTATCTACAGTACCTTTTCAGTTTCAGTATATAAACGTGGTACCATCTGTTAAGTCTATCAGTGATAAAGTGTGATGCATCTGATAGTGTCCAGCTTTCTTTTCATGAAGCAGATTCCATAAATCTGCATAGCAGCTCTTTTGGAAACACAGGAAATTCAAATGAAAATGCTAGCTGGAATTTAGCATGTGTTTCTGTGTGAGTCATATTTTTTGTGACTCATTTGCACGACAATATGTTGCTAGAATGAGCATTATATGAGCCACATATATTCTTGGAAAAAACATCTGTTAGCCACTTTAAAACAAAATGAGTCTTTTGCACTGTTAATTTCTTAGGTTTCTTTTTTCTGTAGTAAGTATTTTTGCCATTCCAATTTTAATGCATTTCTTTTATAAGCTGGAGACATCCTTGCCATACTTAGTCAATGAAATACCAGACCCACCTGGGGTAAAAATGAGCTAATGCTTGCATCTGAGAAATTTAAAGAGCACATCCCTTGTTGCACCTGGCAGGTCTATGCATTTATTACATTCATACATACTTCTTAAAGGTGCAAACAAAATCAACGAGATGGCTGTGAATGTATAAAGCCAGAAGGCTAAACTGTGTTTCTAAATCACAGAAAAAAAATGAATATCACTTCCAACAGCACCCTAAAATACCCTATCTGTTGGTTGTTTGGGTTTTTTTTTTTCAATTTTGAAGTAGCTTCAATAACCTAATCAACCTCTTTTTTTCACAATAACTTTCCCTGTTTGTGTTGTTAAATGTGCTATCTGGAAGCAACATCCCTGGTGTCCCTGTGGCTCTATGGGAGCTCTCTAACCTAATGCAGAATTGCTCTGCAGATAAAGAGCAAGAACTATTCTGAAATAAAACCCATCATGAGTAATACAAGAACGGCAGCACTGCACTGTGAGAAACTTTCAGAAGGGTGCAAGAAGAAGGCAAATATACCACCATACTTTCCAAGAGACCCAAGGCTCAGGGGACTAGTTGAGCCACAGGTGGTTGTTTTTCATACCTTGATTTGTCTGATCTTACTCTGAGCTCCTTCTGGACTTCTGCCCCGCAGAGCAGGTGGGGGCCGACCTCGCTAGACCACGAACCTGGGTGTGGTGGTTTCACGTGAGCCATTTCTGGCTGCACTGGGTGATGCTACATCTTCCCTTCGTCTGGTACCTGCCACCTCCAGCCCTCTCACCCACGAGGTTTGCATAACAGCAAACAAATCATCACTCCCTGTGCCTTTTTGCTGCCTGCTGTGACAGTCCTTTATGTTATCCCTCCCAGGAGGGATTATGTGCATCTATTTACCTGCTCTACAATATCCTTTCTGAGATAGTGCACCAAAAGTGAATGCATGGTTCCAGAGTTGGTAGGCATCAAAACTGAGAAAGAAATCTTTAGATTTCTGTTTTTTCTATTCCTTTCTTAATATTCTTAGCATTTGATTTACTAGTTCGACCAGAACTGAGCAGTAAGCTAATATTTTCACAGGTCTATGTATTACAGCTACAAGATCCCTTTTTCAGGTGGTCACACTTAGTTCAGAGTCCACTGCAGTGTCTGTGAAACAAGATTTTGCTACCTCTGTGTACACTACTTAGAATTTATCACCACTAAGTTTCTCTGCCATTTCATTGCTCAGTCACTCAGTGGCATGAGATCCTTCTGCAAAGCTTTCTTGGCTGATTGTTTTCTGTATTTTGAATGACACTGCAAAAAATGTTGTTGTTAGATTTTCTTCCCCTTCCCAGATCTTTTATCAATGTACTGAACAGTATGGGTCTTACTTTTTAAAGACTGATAATTTATCCTTATTCTCTATTTCCTAGCTTCAGTCTGTGAGATGACTTTTTCTCTTGTCGCTACACATCTTAGGGTGTTTTTTAAAGCTTTTGATGAAAGACTCTGCCAAAAACCTTTTGAAAAACCAAGCAGTTTGTATCAACAGGATCTCCCTTGTCCACTGGATGACCCGCTCCTTCAAAGGATTTATGTGTCATGAGCTCCCCCTACAAGCATTATGCTTTCTGGTTGTGGCCTACATGTTCATGTGTTTGTCTATGAGATTTTCTGCTTTTTTTCCATAACGTCTATCACTTTGCTTTGTATAGCTGTCAGGCTGCCTGGTCTGTAGTTCCCCAGATCTCTTCTAAAGCCAGGCCTCCCAGCAAGGACATTCCACCCATGACCAGAAGTAGACTGTATACACAGTAATGCGCTTACCTTAAAAGCCAAAATGATACTTATGAAGAGGAGGATAATCACAACCAGACATGTAGGGTTCACAGACATAATCTCTTCTTTGTAGGGAAAATTGGTGGGCTGCATAAGCAAAAATAAGCAAAACACTCTAAGTTCATCTCACGAGTCATTTAAGAGCCATTCAGTTAGTGCACTCCATAATTAACAGCTTACAAAACTTCCTGTGAACTACTAAATCAGGAGCTCTCTGCACCAGCAACCAGTTTCAGTCAGTTTAGCTGGAACAGGCATTGTGAAGACTCAGTTGCCAAACGTTCCCTGGAGGGCTAAGGAATTTGCATTTTGCTTTGTATGTGGTGTGGGCTGTCCTTTCTTCCATGCACACTGGGTTTGTATCTGACACAAACTAGCAAAGGACATCTCTCTGGGATCTTTGCAGCAGGAAACCTGCCATCTTGGGCAACGGCAGGCATGTTCCGTACTTATTAACTAATCATTATACTGGCACTGGTTGCCAAAGACCAGTGGCAGCTCCTTCCAGAAAGTCAAAGCAGGAAAAGCTGGACAGCACGATCCTTTTACCTAAATATTTGATCAAAAGACATTGGGTCTATTCTGCTCTGTCTTATTCTGGCTAAATTTGGACTACTTCTCCAGGAGTACTTGTTAGTGCTGCTGAGTGCATGCCCTGTGGAGGCAAGGGTCCTACAGGGGAGCAATGTCATGATTTCAAATAAAAATGTGCTCCAGGTCCTTCTGTTACCTCATACATGAAATGGAGGTGACAGAATTAATCTTCCTACTTAGCGCAGGCTCTAGTGATTTACAGTCGTGAAACACATTAGGAGCATCGGCTGAAAAACAACCTCTAAGAGTGTTTTACTGTATTTGTTATTGCTTAAAGAAAACACACCCTTTAAAATGAATGTTCCAAATCGTTTTGAAATATTGCAAAGCACAAGTTCCTGTTTCAGTTAGAATAAACCATTGTTCACAGACAGAGCTATTCTCCACAAAAGATAGCTCTGCTGCAACAGTAGCTCATTATAACTGAATGCATTAGCTCCTTCCACACACAACCCCCTTTTCCCTTACAGGTCTAATTACTTAACCAGGCCAGTTCTGCATCCTTGTCAGGACAATTAACTAGACCGAGCTATAACTGTATTCTTGGCGATGATGGTGTAAATCCAGAGTAACCCCTTAATACCCCTTACACCAGCACTCGGCCCAGTGCATCAGGAAATTATCTTTTTTTTGGACAGCTGCTCTTCATTTAGCGCTTCCATGAACTGTTCAGAGCAGTTAACATCAACAGCAGCTGTAACTGTTTGCAGATAAATGTTACATAAGCACATTTTCTGCTTCTTGACAGCAATGTTTCTGTTCCTGTACTGAATTTCGTGGCTGAAGTTTTTATCACATTATCTTCTTTGTCAAGGTACAGCTTTTGTAGGAAACTAGCTTGCTATAATTCAATAAGTTGCTCTTTTTTTTTTTTCCACAGAAGGTTATTGCTAAATATAGTGGATGCGATCACCCAGAGACCAAGAAAGCAAGAGTATATGTCAAGAAAAGATGCACCGAAGAAGAAACACAAACCTTATATGCAGAAAATTTAAGTATTAATGACACAGCTTGCTCTCCTGCTTGCAGGAGGGAGGCCATGCACATGGTTAGAAGGTCCAGTCAAAGACAGTTACAGTAAAACTGCCCCTAAACAATTTTTTAGTACATACTTACCCTTAAAAAACTAGTCAAACTGGTTTGTGAATGTAATAAAAAACTCCTAGTGAGGCTTTGGTCTTCCTACACTCTGAGTTTTGGGAATCAGTTACCAGTCAAAGACTAGATGACTGCATGCTGGGGTCTTGGCCATAACCTTACGGCCTGTTTCCAGATGTCAGCTCAGCTTGGGTTTGCGTGGGGGCAAGAGGAGGGTGGGAGAATGACCAAGAAAGTTCCTGCTACCTTAAAGAGCAGGAACACCTGCTGGAGCCATGAGCCCTGGTCAAGTCTGGGAGCAGCACCTGGCCCTCCCTTACCTCAGCAGCATTTCAGGTGAAAAGACAATAATTCAGCACTGAAAGCAGCAAGCCAGGAGAGCACGTGAGGAGCAAATGCTGCAGTTTTTTCCCCTTCAGGCTCAGCTTTCTGTGTCTCCATCCTGAAGAGACGTGAGGTGTAAGCAAGCCCCAGCAGGGCGGTAGGTGCTGCACCCATGTGGTGGTCACCCCCATCCACAAGTGCCTGGGAGATCTTGGTGTAGGCTGTGAAAACCGAAGCCAGCCCCTCCTGGAGCTTCCCAGCATGCTGTGTAGGAGAGAAAGCTTTCAGGGCTGTGAAGAATAGTCCAGGGCCATCTGGTCAGCATGGAAGAAACTCCCTTTGTTTGCTAACGGGGCTGGTGGCACCTGCCGACCAGAAGACGTTAATGCTCTTTTGCTGAGGCTGGCCTATGAGCAGTCTGATCTTGACTCACAACTACAAACCCCTTCAGTGCAGTAGGAAAAACAATTTATAAAATGTGCAGCTTTTGGCAAAGAAGCAGAAAAGATGGTGGGAAGCATCTCAGCTGGCTCTGGGCTCGCCTGGTGCAGGCACCATCATGGAGCTGGTGCCATCAGGAGGCCCTTGCGATCCTCCTACGGCAGCAGCCGCTCCCAAAATCTCCTTCACTCCCACAGAAAACGGGTGCCAACAGTGGTTCAGATGAATCAAAGGCCCATTGCCCTCCACTGACTGCAGTGATAAGCTTAACCACCCATGTGGGTGTATGAGGAGGGAAGAGAAATCCTGCTCCTGTGCTGGGTGTTTGCTCTCCTGTGGGGAGACCAGCAGTTGAAATCCTGCTGCTGGGAAGGCCCCAGGCACCGGGCTTGGTGCTGCAACTTCTGGGAAAAGCTCAGTGTCAAACGTTGTGCAACGTTGGATGAAGCTGAGACTGAAATATGGCTGGGTGGGAAAAATCAAGCCTGGAAATACAGGAGTGATTTTGCAGCAGGACATGATGAAGTTTTCTATACAAACAAGAGGTAGTTGTAGTGGTGTGGCACTGGCATGCTAAAGTCATAATTAAAGTGTCATTTATAACTTTGTCACAGACATGGAGAGGGCTGCATGCATAATATACCTGGTAAACTTTCAGTTTAAAAAAAATTACTGCTTATACATAGCAAAGCTCTATTAGACACTTAAAAAGAATCTAAAACTTGCATGGAAAGTATATTTCTACTGCATCAATATTGTACAAATGCACAAGAAGAATAAGAAGTCCAAGGCTGAAGCCCTTTCTCATTCCCTCAGCCTGCTTGCATAATCTTTCATGTTTTCCTTCCCCTTGGACCATAGAAAAATCGACTTTAAAAGATGGTGTGGATTCTCATTCAACAGTTACAATCCTCCAAGTATCAGAATCTTACAAAACTGAAAGAAAACAGTAATGTGTCTGTAGAATTTTTAAATCTCTGCTATGAAGTTAGTAGTACTTCTTCCTTGGAATTATAAAATGGCATTAAAAATGTCAGAAAGGATATTCCCTTTCTAAGCTTTAGTTTATAGGAAAAATTTCTTTAGGTTTAATCTCTTTTACGTTCTCTAGATGTTTCCCCTAGGATTTAAAAGCATGACTAATATGACCTGAATTGTTAGACAGCAGCATTGCAGGTAGGCCCATAGTAAAGCTATTTAATATACTTTGAAATTTCTTTAGATCAACTGTAATAGTCCTATACTTAAATAAAAAACAAGTTTGCATAACTCAGTTGCAGACTAGCCTGCTCTGCACCTCTGCTTCAATTCATTTCATGTACTGTTATCAGATGACAGAAGATAAAGTGTTTAATTTGAAGGCTTTAGAAAGCCCATATATCAAAGATTTAGCGGCACTAAAGAAAAGAAATGTGCTTTAGATCAAACTGCTTTAGACCACCACTACTGCTCCGAGAACCAAAATGATTTTTATTTTACAGATGCTGGATTTACTGTATGTGAATTTTTTTGTTTTTCTAGTGACAGTGATAATGACCAGGATGTCCAACATAAACCTTAGAAAGTTTTATGACGTGATGGCCATACAACATTTCAAATGCTAGATTTGTAACATCTACTTATTTTACATGACCCTTCATGCCGGGATGCTCTTGCAATTTATGAGAATTAAGTGGCACACCTGTGTGCAAGTAGGTATTAAAAGGCAACAAAAAGTTTCCAAAGACACTTGCGCTTCTGAAAGAAACATCCAGTATAGGATGACAGTACCAAATACCCTGTGAATGCAATGTTCTGTATTTTACAATTGCAACATTTTCAACTAGGGCTCTGCCTAGCCTATTGATAGGTACTCATTTATCATCTTGCTAAAAGTACATGGAGGGTTTCACAATAGCTTGCAACTCATCACTGGTAGACTGAAACCTGGAAGATGTGCACCAAACTGAATAGATTAACATAATGCCAGATACTAGCGTGGGGAAGAAGAAATGGTTAAGAACATGGGCTTTTCACCTTAGAGCAAGCAAAAAATGTTCTTCTGAAGCTGCCAAATATATTCTATTACCTAATGCGTACCTTCTTCCAGATATTCAATAATGGATTTGAAGAACAATTGGGATTTTTCACTTTCCTTATGGAGCTGTGCTCCCTAAAATATCATTCCCCAAATTCAGAGCAGTTTTAGAGGAACAAAAACTGTAAGAATGCCAGGAAGAAACACAACCCTTGCTTTCTGCCTACCTTGGCAGACCTCTGCAAAGGGGGTGAGGGCAAGATGACCCTAGGGCTTATTTATAAATCATGAGGAGGGATCACACCCAACTGGCATAACTCAGGTCTCACTTACAGGGACAAGGGTATTAACCACAGTCTTGCTGTAAACGTGGTGTTTGAGATGACAAACCTATCTACCATGAATATTATTAAAAGGTAGGGAAACAAGTCCATGGGTACAAGCCTGTTTGTCAATATTTGAGTGCCAACCCTGCATTGATGGCATTGTGGCTAAAAATTTGAAAAGCTTGTTTTTAGTTTCATTTCATTGTGTGTCTCAGTATCTGATACCAGTGGATGTGATCTTCACCGCTCCCTTTCGCTTTTGGTCCCTCAGACAGAGTGTATTTGCTCCGAGCCAAATGCAACAACCTTTTGCCAACTGATGTGGCCCTTCCAGGTAATGGTACGAGGGGTTCCTGCTGAGCCACTTGTGCTTGGGGCCACAGCTAAGACACAGCTCCAAAGCAGTTGCAGAACAGCTTCAGACCAGCTTCAAAGCTTTGTTGAACAGGTAACATTAACTGTACAAAATTCATCGCACCTCTTGGTAGTTTTTGCGAATCACTATCCTCCACTGTGAATGATAAAATAGAAAGAACTCCTTGTTTCTAAATCAACTTAACTTGGACTAGCTTTTAGCTACTCATTATTATTATGCCTCTCATCTAATTTAAACAGCCTTTTAATACCTCACTATTCTGCATATGAAAACGCTAATGGTATCACCTCTTGGTCTCCTTTCTCAGTAAACTAAGGAGGAAAAGCTGATTGTCTCTCGTCATACTATGATATACCCAGCTTTTATATAGTTTTTGGAGGAAATTTTCTGCATGTTTTCTGACTTTTAAGTATTGTTCTTTACAACATAAAGACACCATAAATAGACAGACGAAACCTATGTCACCAACTGAGAATGGAAGTCTCCTCTCCATTACTATTCATTGCTGGTTTTTAGTGTCCACAAATCCCATGAACAGTTTTTACAAATAGCAAAAACCCTGGGAACTCTTGTTTTGGCATTTAGTTCCCTAGACTGCTTACAAAGTCACTGCATCCCAGGTACAGTTGCCATACCGTATGCTCATCCGTATTCCTCATATTTTCACATTTCTTTGCATTTAGCAACATAGCACACATTAATGACCGAACTCAGGTTCTCAGTCAGTCTAGCTCCCTCTGATTAATGGCTCCATCTTTAGTGTTACTTACTTCTTCATTGATCTCTGTGTCAGCCACCAGTTTTATTAGAAGTGATTTTGCTGGGAAAAGTCACACGTACTGCTTCTGGGGAATGCAGAGATGTGCTCACTTTGGGCAGTGCAGGGATAGGGTCTTTCAGAGGGTGACCCAGAACAGGTAGGTTAGGCTCCTGCTCGCAGCCTCCCGCTAGAGGACTCGATCCCTCTAGACAGTGAGCCTGGGGAAGCTTTCCCAAGGTTGATGTTAGCCTTCGTGAATGGCCTCTTGGGTACCAAGGTTATTAATGGAAGTCAGGAAGAGCATGAAATCTACTGCCAATTCCTGGAGACCTTCATCTACCCAAAATAGAAACTTATTGGCAGATGGTCGGCTTGACCACGACCCTTTGTAGTCCGCCAGCTAACCTCTCCTAATCTATTTGATACATCCTTTATTGATCCAGTGCTTTATTGTTGCTCTGAGCATCATGCTGCGAAGTCAAATGTCTCACAGAAGTCTGTTATGCCTCTGCCCATCTTTATTGACAAAGCCAGTAATCTTGTCAGTGAAAGAAAATGAGTTTGCCTGCAGGACTGATTTTCCGTGAAGCTGTGCTGGCAGTCATTAATCATATTCCTCTGGTCTAATCCTTTATCAATTGACTCTCCTCTCAGCCCTTCTGCTATTATTCTGCTTGGTAGCAATGTAAGGCTAATCAGCCTATAATTATCCTGGAAATCCCCCTTGCCCTTTTGAGCACTGACAGTTTAGCACTCCTGAAGTTTTACAGCATTTCATTACCAGTCTGGAAAATTATTTACAACAGCACGCAAAGATGTGTGCAACCAGAGATTTTAACAGTCCAGAGCAGGAATGTGGCTCACAAAGTGCTCTGCTGCACCCTTCCCAATACCTTCCAAGGACTGCTCCTTGTATTTCTGCTACAGAAGGGCCTATTATTTTTTTATCGGCAGGAACGGCAGTGATGTTTTAGCAGACATTTTGAGAGAATCAGCTGCTCTTTGCCCTTCTAGTGAGCCAGTTCCAGATGTGACACCAGGTTTTCAGCAGAAGAGCGGGGGCTTTTTGGTGCACATCTCCCAGTCTGCTCCTGTCCCCCTCACGTTCTCGCACAGTGACCAAGACTGAGTAAAACCTGGTTACGATTCATGCTCTGGGAAGGGGGGGGGGTGTACCTGCAGCCACACAGACACTTGTGCTGCCACAAGAGCAGGGCTGGCACCGATGCAGAAGTGAGGGACTGCAGGGGAAGGGTGGGCAGGAGGGCTCCGGCCAGTGGCAGTGCCAGCTTCAAGCACTCGCCAAGTGATGGCCGTAATTTGCTCTTTTCCACTTGTATCTCTAAGAACCTTTTGAATTATTCCTCTGCTTCTCTTCCAGTGTACCATCAGCTGTGAATGCAGGCAGGTATTAAATAAGGCAAAGGATAACAGGCCCCTGATGCATCCCAGCTCCCGCTGGCTTGACACATTGCCTCTTCCCGCAGATTTGTGTGGCTACTTATCTGCCTGCTGCTTCTCATTACCTGTTATTTATACTGCCCTAGCTAGTTTTCCATCCACATAACAAAGTTCACAGCCAAGCTAATCTGTATTTAGGTTCTCAAGGCAGATTTTCAGAGATGGCTGCACCGTTGGCTTCTCCAGAGCTCTGCAACTCCCCCTGAACCCTACTGGACATGGCATGTGGTCCTGTGATGAGACAAAGGTGGGTGGGCTCTTGTCTTTACTTTAGGTGGTTGCAATCATACCTTGTAACCTTACGCAATACTGGTTATGGATGTTTGGCCAAAGTAGACCATGGCAAGAAGGGAGCCTCTAACTGACCCTAAGTCAGAATCCAAAAATATTTCCTAGCAAAACCAAACCTACATTGAATCAAACTCCTGCCTAATGAAATCTGTGTTAAACCCACCAAATAAATTAAAAAGAGCAACAAAACATCCTTGAAATAGCACCAAAAATAAGCTACTGGATATGAACATGTCCTGGTTTTGGCTGGGATAATCTTCTTCCTAGTAGCTGGTATAGGGCTGTTTTGGATTTAGGATGAGAAGAATGTTGATAATACACTGATGTTTTAGTTGTTGCTAAGAATTGTTTACACTAAGTCAAGGACGCTTCAGCTTCTCATACTGCCCTGCCAGCAAAAAGGTGGGGTGGGGGGGTGGGGGAGCTGCACAAGAAGTTGGGAGGGGACACATCCAGGACAGCTGACCCAAACTGGCCAACGGGGTATTCCATACCATGTGACGTCATGCCCAGTATATAAACTAGTGGGAAAGCTGGCCGGGGAATGCTGCTTGGGAACTGGCTGGGCATCAGTCATCGGGTGGTGAGCAACTGCATTGTGCATCACTTGGTTTATATATTCCAATTATTTTATCATTATTATTATCATTATCATTATTATCCCTTCTTTTTCTGTCCTATTAAACTGCCTTTATCTCAACCCATGAATTTTACTTTTTTTCTGATTCTGTTCCGCATCCCAATGTGTCGGGGGAGTGAGTGAGCAGCTGCATGGCTTTTAGCTGCCTGCCGGGTTAAACCACAACAGAACACAATAACTCTGAATCCAAAAGCAATTACTTATTACCTGTGTCTTGCAATATGAGCTTCATTCCAAATGAAGTGGTGCTGAGAGCTTCCACAACACTGTAAAACTCCAGAGCTCTGCACAAATCTTGTAATGAGTTAGTACTGTAACCTTGCAAGGATGTTGAATATGGACTAGCTAGGACTGAGAGGACTATTCAAGGACTGCATAGGCAGTCAACAGGAAACTGCTGGCTAGAAATACAGGACAGACAGTGCACCTTGCACAGTCTTTTTCCCCCCAAAACCCCCAAAGGTTTGTGAACATCAAGTGATTTACCAGCTGGCGGAGGTAGTCCTGAATTGTGCTGGGATAGACGAGTACACTGATGGCAACCAACGTGTTGAGAGCAAAGTCAAAGATCTGGTAACAGAAGAAAGGGATGATCCAAGCTGCATGTTGCTAAAAAAGAAATAAAATAAAAACTCATCAGCCACAAGTTAAAATAGCAGGATATATGTCTCTCTGCACTAAAATCTAAGGAATATTTGACACAATGCAGTGTTAAATCAGCTGAAAGAAATATGACATTCAGCCAAAAGGGTTGGCCAAGCCAGTTTGGCTGCTGTAATATATGTGGTGTAAGTCCCACGACTCACTATACTAGGACATTTAGAAACCACACGATACTTTTTCCCCCTAATTAATAGGGTTAGTTATGGGACAAACCACAGGCTTGGGAGTTGAATGGGAAAAAAAACCCTTAACTTTGGTAGGTACAAGATTTCTGAATTCACAGTTTGCCCAGAGCTTACTCATATTTAAAACTGCAATCAACACAACTGGGCAGTCTTCCTGCCTGCAGCACGGCGTCCTGGGGTACCACTGATCTAAGCAATCAGTTCTGCTGCCTCTTTGACTTTTTTTTTTCTCTCAGTTTTCAGCTAAACAACTAAACAAGAAATTGTTGGAAAGAAATTTTCTTATTTTTGTTTCTACAGAGTTGTGTAGTTCACTTGATTCATGTCTTCACCGAATATAATAAATTACCTTATATGCGCCATATGTAGCCATTGCACAGATCAGAATCATGAGAAGAGAAATTGCTGTGGCAATGCACATATCTGGAACAGAAACACACAAAAATAATTGCAATAAATTCAGAGCTTGGTTCAGTTATTTTGCTATCTACGTTGTGCAGAGCACCTCAAAGGGCAGGGTGGGAAGTGGGTGGAGATGGGGTCAAGTGCATCATTCATCCATTGCTGGAGGAAATCTCTGGCTTTTGTGGGAAACCTCCTAAATATGAGAAGCACAGACAGTGATTACACCATGCAAGCCTCTGCAGCCTCTATGAGGCTGTGGAGATGCCATGAACGGTTTAATTTTTCTAAGGATTCTCAAAAATCAGGAGCAGTCTTGACAAGAAGACTACTTTGCGAGTGATGATGACATCTGTAGTCAGAAAGTGTCTGCTTTTCTGCACTGCAGGTTGTTTTTGCACTAATAGCTGCCGTATACCATTGTTCATATATCTCTAAAAACTCTGGAAAAGGAGAAATGAATTTTTAAAAACAAAACTGGCAGGTAGAGGCATCTTAGAGCAGAAATAACATCTTGAAAATTTTCATTTCAACCAAGAATACTACAGAGATATAGAGTTATTAATGAAAATGTATACCTGTCAGGAAAGGTGAAGTAGTAAAGGCAGGAAAATATTCTTTAAGGTTTTGATTGGAGTAATTACAGGACTCCTATCTTTTTATTCTATTGCCACTCAGCTTTCAATTAACTTTTCAATAGATGTAAGAAGTTCCTAAGCCACGAACAGCTGAAAGGAAATCCTGGGGCAAAAATTACATATGTTTGGTCTTTTTGTATACACTTCCCTTGATATTACAGGTCATAGTCAGGATACCAGAAGCATGTTTCTGAACTCGACCTTATAGTGAGTTTGGGAGTGCAACGGAACATTGCAACCACTTTTCTGAGGCTAAGCCAGTGCACAAAGAAGAGAGAGGATGTAAGGTATATAGGATGCAACTTTAGAGATTCCACCTCTGTCGGTATTTTTGAGGTACCTGCTGTTCACATTGCTGTCACCAGGTGCACTTAAACTACCTGCCTTGATGAGGCATTTGGTGGACTTGAGACACACAAATCCATGACACTGTTCAGGCTGTTCACTACCCATCACTGCCTGACTCTGGAGGCATTCAAAGCGTGAAGATGCCTCCATTTGATCACAAGAGTTGCCACAACATCTAACTCCAGCACATGATGAGAAGCACTAAACAGCATGGGACAGTCCTGCCACCTCCCTGGTTGCATCAAAATGAGGTTCTGGGTAGGTGCCCTGGAGCCTTCATCAAAGTCCATGAAAGGTCCTGATCTGGTAGCTGTGGACAGGTTTCACCTACCACCACCATGCAGCAGTGCAGGTTCACCCAGGTCATGGCTAAAGAGGAATGACAGACACTAAGTCTTGTCTGTCATTTTTTCCAGCCTACCGGTGTAATCATCCATGTAGAAGACAAAGGACCCAGTCCTTGATCCTCCTCCGCCAGAGGGAACACAAACCTTGCACTAGTGCAGAGCTCCTGCCAGCACTAATGCAGATTTCTGCTGGCCCTTGATGAAGAGAGGAACCTAAGACTTGTGAAGCTGATGGAAAAATGAACAAAAGGAAGCTGTTGCTGGCTGGTGAGGGCATCTCCAGAGGGTGCTTATGTAAGCTGGGCTACAGGCTCTTTGGGTACCGTGTCTACCAATGGCAGGATTAAGGACGTGGGAACCCAGGCCTCCCCTTTTCCAGGACACTGCCTGTGTCCTGGATTTCAGGTTTCTTGCTTTCTCTCTCTTGTGCCCAGATTTTGTCCTTTTGATTGCATAGGGACTCAAATGCAGCAGAAGGAGCCCTATTGCAGGCTACTTCCTAATTTAATGGCTGGGCCCCTTTCCTGGGCACTTGGAGAAGCACATTTAAACTGCTGTAGTCTGATGAGGGTCTGGAATCCAGATGTCCTTCCTCACAGTGCAAATGCTTGAATCTTTGTCTTATTGTCAAAATAAGCAGATCTCACCCAGGAGAGGCACCAGCACCCAGCTCTGACGTTAGCTGCATCCCTGCGCTCACTGCTTCCTAGCTGGTGGCTTTATGCAGCTCGGTTTGTGGGTGCTTGGAAATGCCATTGGGAGGCAGCTGGGCTCCCTGCTTATAATTCAGGAGGGGATGACATCTCAGTGCATCCCAAATTGCTCTTCAGAGGCACCGCCTTCTCCTCTTTGACTGTGTAGAGAATCCAAACATTCAGCGTAGGGATCTGAACTGCATTGCCATGACAAGTCTCCAGCTTTTTAGGAGCTGTAAGGGTGTGCTGTGCTTATTAGCGGTGATCTGAATTCTGCCCTCAAGAGGAAGAACCAGCCACAAAACAAACCCGTACTAATAAAAGGTACCGCAGCCCCTTCAGACACTTTTGCCTGTGTGGTCATTTACTCTGGCTGCCCACATACATCCTGTGAAATCAGAATTATTTTGAATAGACCAGGTACAATCAAGGTAATGAAAGAAAAGGAGAGAAGTGGAAATGGCTGCCTATAGCCACTAACCTCAATTGAACCTCTTGTAACAGAGGCTCTTGGATCAATATTTTTATTTTAACCATCAGTTTGAAGGCACTGCTCATGTATTTATTCTGTCCGTTCTTAATCCCAGTCACCTACTCACTGTATCCAAGGGGAAGCTGCTGTCATTGTCATTTGCAGCAGATGCAGCAGTCACAGGCCTTGCTTTGCTTGTGACAGCGGCAGTACTGGTTTATAGCCAGAGCCCAGCAAACTGCGATAAACTTGACATTGAAGCTCTAGTCTGACACACTCATGCTCCTCTTCTCCCGTGTCTCTCTGGCTGTGTTCCGTTGTGCCAAGTCCTAGTTGGCTCAAGCTGGTTCTTTCTCATTTAAGGCTTCATTGGTTTTTTTGAGCTGTGTCGGCTTCAATTAATCAGAATGAAACTAGATATGTAGCACATTAAATGAGAAGCTAACAGGGGTGTATGATTTTTTTTTCCAGCCATGCTGTACTTTCCATGGCATTCGTGGCTAGAAGGGCTGTACTTGAACCACCGCAGTGGTTATACAGCCTATTGTCCTAGATGGCTTTTTGAGTTTTCTGCTTGGGTTTAAAGAAACCAGTTGGGTTTTTTCCTCTTATACCTTGCAGTGAGATTCTCCAATCCTGCCGCATTGGGGAGAAGATTCTGCTGGGGCTGAGCAGAGCTCCTGCCATAGGGCACTTGCACACATGGCAAGCTCTGCAGCTGGAGCTCCCTTGAACCCATCTCACAAGTATTTCTTTGCCTTCCCCCTCCTCTTGCAGAGGAGGCTGGCGGCGGGTGTTGCGGGGACAGGGGGGAGCACCCAGTCAGGCCAGTCCCTGAGCCAGGACCTGTGTAGAGTGATGGAGACTTCAAATCCTCCAGCTCATCACCTGCCCCAGCCCTGGAGTTAATCGCTGGCTCACAGCTCTGACAGCAGGGACCAGAAAGCTGCTGATCAGCAGCCTGCAATCCTCAGGCAGTTTTGCCCACCCTTCTAGCCTTATTTATCCAGCAACCTGGCCTCCTTACTGCCAGCTAAGGATTACTGCCTCGATCTCTCCTCCGGGCTGCTTGTGCAACCTCAGTGCTGCTGCCGCCAGCCGCCATGCAGCCTCCTGGGTCACAACCCATGCGGCGGTGACATTCTCTCTATGGCAAAGGAAGGAGGCCAATGAGAAGGAAAGAGTTTTCTGCACTTTAAGCCCAGCTGATTTACTCCAGAGGATAAGACTAGAGGGGAAGATGCAGCCCTGAATATGCTACGCTGGGGCAGAGATCTAGATTTTTCACCCTCCCTGTGACATGGGGCTCATGGAGTAGTGGTGACAGATTGGGGCAGGAAGGGCACCTACTCTACTATTTCCATTTACCCCACAACAGAATTCCAAGCCTGCTATCTGTAGGTTTCTTTAATTTTTTTTCTATTTGAATTAATCTTTTTAAGCCCTGGATGCATGTCATGTTCGGCAGAGAGACCATCACATTATCCTGCCTTGCCCTGAGACTTCTGCTCGTCTCGTCTGCCCATCCCAGGGCAGGGACACAGGCAGCTTTTGGCCTGAGTTGCCAACATTGGTGTCAAAGTTCCCCTCAGCTTCTATAGAGCACACATAAAATTTCAGTCCTTGTTGTCATATGGTTTATGAAGTATCACACACATCTGTGACACTGTGAAGGCAGTAAATAAAACCAAGCAACACTCACTGCTTGTTTGGGCTGTTGACGTGTCAGGATCATGGTCTGTGTATCTGGAGAAGCTGAGCAGGAGGCTCAGGTGAAACCCTCTGGGAAGTCAAAATGATTTATAGGGCTTTTCCATCTCCTGCCCAGAGATTATTAATCTTTTAACAGTAGCAGTATTACATTGGGCAGCTTACACATTTCTAATTTTTCCTAGTCCAGCTTCTTGTTCATGAACTCCCTCAGGCCCTAAGGAAATAATAAAAAGAAAGATGAGACTAAATGGGCTCAGCTGAATATCCAGCACAGGAGGAAGCCCAGCATATTCCCCGGCTCCCAGATGTACATCTTGGAGACCCAGCCAAACCACACACACTGGTGTCTTCCAGTACCTCCATCTGCCACATGGCAAGTCTTGGCAGACTTTTTCCCCCCTTGTTTCCTCTTCTAGAATAGAAGGGAAAAGCTATAACCTACGGCTTTTTTTAAGTGCTCAGGTAAATCCTTTCTCTGCTTAATCAAACAGGCATTTTGGAGCCTCTGGTAATGCCCTGGGAACCATGCTAAATCCTGAAATTAAGGCTGAGCAGCCATTCACAGAAGGACTGATGCTGCACCAGCATTTTCCAGCAGTTTGCACTAGACTGGCTCTGGTTCTGCACGTGGCAGGAATTTTTCCTACTGCTGGAACAGAAAAGTGAAAATTCTCCATAAACCAGGCCTGAGCCCAGCCAGAAATAAATATGAATACAAATATTGGGGGAATACTCTTTTCTTGGAAGTCAAGGGAAATCTGTCATGAACTTCAGGTTAGCCATAATGCCACTGCTGTGACTCAGCTGACAAGTTTATCTCCAGCTGACATTTTCAGATCTTTTATGAAGGAGCCTATTTGAGGAGGGAGGGAAAGGGCAATTTTATATGCAAACTCTGTGTCTGCATTTTTTTTGTTTGCTATAGATAGGAGCATCAGAAGTAGTAATGAGAATAACAGCTACTAGTATTTCCAGTATTATTATTTGTCAACACAAGTACTTATAGAGAGCAACTTTGGGACCTTCATTAGCATAAAAATTGATGTATCTTCCTGTATTTCACACACACGGTTTCACATCTAAGAATTTCAGCATGTGCAGCTAACCTGGGAAACATTTCTTCAAAAAAGACAAATAAAAGTAGGACAAGAGAAGAGCATGTGGAAGTTTGTCTGATGTTTTATCTCATAAGAAAACATTTCCTCAGATTTGAACAAATATAGTCATACTTAAAGAAAAAAAAGAAAAAAAATTATCTCTGCCAGCTATTTCCAGTAACTATAAAAGCCAGTAGCTTGATTCAGCTGCCTTTACTCAGTAAGGCATTAAACCGGAGGGAATCAAAGAATAAAAGGAGACATTAATTCAAATGTTCATTCGTAATTTAACTGCCTGTGAAATGTTCCCTTTACTGAATGGAAATGAGGTTGCTTGGCCCACAAGCCATCCTTTTACAGTCTTGCATGGTTCACTTCAGAAGCCTCGATAAAAAAAATATAGAAAATACAATTTTCAAAGTGTAGATGGAAATCCCCAAAGTACTTGATCTGACAGCTATTGCATTACAAAACAGAATTACTATTTTAAAGCCTTGGGCACTGGCAGGCCTCTGATGTCGGCTATATAAAACCACACTGACAGACAGTCATTACCAAGGTTAATCTCTGAGAATTAGGACAAGGCAGTCAGTTTTAATATGTCAGAATCAGCCAGGAGCCCATCTGTATGTACTATGGTCCTTACTTTCTTAAATCCAGTTATATAAAAAGATTTTTAGTTGGAAGTTGTAGGTGGTTTTCCAATGAAGACACAATAAAATAGCAGTTGCCCCTTATTATTAATTAAATGTAGACCCTCAAGGCATACTTGCACTAAAGACCTTGTGGAAATAAGCATCTCTTAACTGATACCCAGCAGATCTGAAACACCATGGATGCAATTATTTTTCTCACATGTGGGACTATTCCTTTTCCTACTGATATTTTTATTGACTTCAGTAGGAATGAGGAAAGGACTTAGAGCCTTTTGCTGTGGATGAGTGTGATTCTGAGCAGCAAGACACCAGTGTAACTAGCAGGAGACCTTGTTTCAGATTACTGTGAGAAATGTTGAATGTAACAATCTTTTGAGCAGAAATGACAATAAACAGACATTTTTATGAAAATCACATTGAGGGAAAACTTTTCTAGCTATGTATTAAACGGTTAAAGCAAATCAACAAACCAAACACCACCAAAGAATTTGAAACAGCCATGGAAGTAAGAAATACTTGTGAAAGACAGGAGGTTTTTGCAGGAGACATAAATGGCCTGGCTCACCCCTCCCTGAAACTCTGTTGGAAGATTTTCTACGATGCTTTTTGGTGAGAGAAGGAAGCAGGCCTGTGTTATCACTAATATGCCTATGGCTATCCAGTTAGTATTTATACTTGCATCTATTACAACAGGTTTGTGCAAGTTGTGCCATGTGCACATGGGGGATGAGTAAATATGTACAACATGAATGAACACATTCAGCCAGTTACATAAATAGCAATATGGGTTCTTATGCGTGTGCAGGCACTACAGGACGTGGTGCTGGGAGGTGCAGAGACTCATAGGTACACACTCCCTATGTCTTGCAAAATCTCCCTGGGGCTTTCAGCATCATGCTCAGGGATAACATCTCCATGTCAAGGGTTGGCTCTGCCCCTGCCAAGCCAAGACACAGCAGAGCAGATGGATTACTAATAGGTAGCAGATAAGGTTACTACTCTGTAACCAGTTTGAACTGTGCCGTGAATACACCTTTCACAATAAAAATGCATCTGTAAGATACCAAGGTGAAGCAATAATTAAAGGACAGTAATTACTGAAATGATAGGACAGTTACATAAATGCTGGGGCAATGAGTGCTAGTATTTAGGCAGTTTGTACTTACTGGCATCATCCATAAATTCAAATTCACCCCCTAACTCAGCACTGGTTAGGTGGTACTGGTCAGGATCAGTCAGGGCGCTCAGCAGAATCAACAATACCACCGAGTTGATAATCTACAGAGAAGAAAAAGGGAAAAGGGTCTGTGAAAGTAATCCATGAAAAACCTCTGGGCAGCATATACTCACCACAGTCTATGCCAGAGGCGGTTTTCCAACTGTACAACTGTAGTATTTAACTAACACTGCACTTCTTAATTTCTTTGGGTTTGTGTAAGCAGGACCTATTTTTTCCCCAAGTAGTGACAGGAAAATGAAACAAAATGTGGATTACCTCTTTTCATTCCGACTCTCTCTCACACCATCAGAAAAGCTGTTGCTGCTCTTTCAGATTATAAAACATATTAGCACATCCACTTCAGTTTGTTCTGTTGCAAAAACTAAAATCAATTAAAACCAGTCATTTTGAGACTATTACAAATGAGTGCTGTAGTCAAGGATTATTAGCATGGCAGAGCTGGAATTTGGGACAGGCCCTGTGAAATTGCTAGATGATCAGAGGAGCTGATTTGCTGGAAGAGGCTGAATTTTAAGAAGCCATGAGTGATGAGCTGATTACATGAGCTGCTAAATCAGGAGGCCTTGGGGGGGATGGGACTAGGTGGCAATGTGAGCCCAATGTCTGATGCGCACATTCCTGCGTCATATGGCACAGAGAGACTTTCACATACACTGAGGCCTTGGCTATGAAATGCAATAAGTGAATAAAATGCAAGAATATAGTGTCAAGTGATTCAGTAGAAGTGGATTGTCAAGCATCAGCTATGAGAGGAATGCAGAGGTAGCCAAGAGATATTTTAAAACAAATCTGAACAAAATGCTCATATCACTTTGAAGTGAAGAGGGCTAATTGCAGAAAAGAAGATTGCTCAGCACGAAATAACGCAGCCTGGCTAAAAGATTATTCTACAGAACTAGGAAGATAACTGATGAACAGGGAAATGGAGAGAAGAAAGCTGATAATAGAGTATGCTGGGAAAGATGGATTTTTATTGCTTTGGTTCTCACTTTGAAGTCATCCTAATCTGATCACAGGTTACTAACAGCAACAAAAAGGTGTAGGAACACAGGCTATTATAAGACATAACAGGCTAGAGAATTTCTTGGGTAAGATAAATGCTTTGTGAAAGGAAAATTCCGTCATCTTTAGCTGATACCAGCTCTGCTAGCAATGATCTTTGAAAAACTGCTGACAACAGATTGAGTTCACAAGACGGGGAAAGAGCAAGCACAGTTTATGCCTTTTCAAAGCAGAAAGGCCATGTAAAGAATTTCTAGCTAGATTGTGAGATTTAAGAATAAAATAAACCTAAGAACAGACAATCAAGCAGTCTCCCCATTAGCACTTCAAATTTGCACGGTCATAACCAACAATCACCATGGGCTTGTTAAGGACAAACCGTAATTAATTCATCTTTTTTCCTTCTCTGACAGGCTAAGAGGCCTTGTGGACAGGGAAAAAGCAGTATATATCATCTCTTTGCATCTTAGCAAGCCTTTTGACATTATGAGATTCTCATAAATGAGCTAGGAAAACCTGGTTTGGTTGAAAGTGCAGGAAGGTGAATGCACAGCCAGCTGGATAGTTGTAATGAAAGAATAGTTGTCAAGGATTCAGAGCCAGTGTGGAAGATATACTGATTAGGGTTTTCCAGTATCGTTGAAAGACTTGGTATTTCAAGTCACTTGTGACTGGTACCTTTCTTTAATTTGCAGACAATGCCAAGCTGTAAGGACTTCGGGAGATAAGATTAAAAAGGTTTTGATCAACTATGGCAGAATTCAGACAATAGAGAACAATTCCGTACCAGCAAGCATAGAGCATCACATTTGTGACAAACTGCAGAAGAACAAGAGGAGAAATAACTGAGTAGGTAACAGTTCCTCAGAAAGGAGTCTGGGTATGACAGTGAATAAACTGAACGTGTCTCAGTGCCATCCCATGAGCTCATCTTTGCAGCTACATGGTGGTGGGCAGTACTGCAGAAACTCAGGTATTAGATGCACAAGTCATCCTCCCACTCGTCCTCCACAGGGCCTCTGCAGAAAGGGTCCAGTTCAAAGTCCTTCTAAAATGTACCAAGAAAACCCTGGGGAGGATCCTGCAACAGAACAGAGCGTGATCAGACAGCTGGAAAGAGTGACTGACAGGGAAAAAAACTGGGGTTGCTTAGCAAGGAGAAGGAGGAGGGAGATGCTCTTAGTCTTTTATGTGCACAAAGGCAAGGAAAAGAAGGAGGCAATAGACTTTTCTCCAGATCCTCTGGGAGATAAGTAAAGTAACAGATTTAAATTACAGTAAAAGGAAATTTTGGTTAGGCAGCTTGCTGAACAGTAAGAACAATCAGACAGCAGAAGAGATTGTCTGGAGAAAGTTAGAGGTCTTCTTTACAGCATTTTTTCATAGAACAGTTAAATAGCTTTGTGTTGGGAATGCTGTAGCCATAGATGGTCTTGTCTTGACTTTGAAGACAGATCAGATGACTGTCAAGATTCAAAACGCTATTAAATTTTAACATTATGTATAACTTTATATTGCAATCCAGTTCTTGCTTTATACTCCTTTGTGGAAAGCTAGAGGACATATGCCAGTAATAAATATGTTATTTAAGGAGAGTACTCAAAATAACCAAGCAATCAGAAACTATAAATGTATATAGCGTTGCTATTTTAGAGGCCCACAAATTTAATCTTTTGTACAGATATAGCCAGGAAGATTCATAAAATACTGACCTAGGCACTTTACTTTCTCTGTATACATACGTCCAGATTCAGATTACATGTTTGTCAGCATTGCCTCTAAGTCTCCGTATAAGACGCATTGTGTTTGCCTGATCTGAAGTCTGCTGTGGTCAGTAGGAATCTCTCTAATGCTCTTTAGTGCATCACTTTTCTGTTTTATCAAGTCATTCCTTTAAGATCCTCAGTGATGTCTGAGCACCTTCCAACTGTGCTGTCAGCAGTGCAAGTGAAATACACCATGTATTTATTTGCTCACCTTCTTTCTCTGAGAAAAAAAAGTGTGCACAGTTGGGCGTATTGTATTTGTTAGGGTTTTTCTTTTGTTTTGAAAGTGATGCGACCATTGAATTTTGAAAAATGCTTTAATGCATAAATTTAATGTGCCTAAAAACTTACTGATGTAGCATCTTCCAAGGACACATAATCAAGGACAAGAGCATAAAGTGATTCCCTGTTGATATATGCAGCTGGTATGAGAGTTGAAGTCTCTGTTCTAGGAAAAACAAAGGAGATTTTTCTGCTCTCTCAATAGGGCTAAGATTTCCTTCAAGACGTTTTTCATTCCTTCAGCAACAGATAATGTAACTACTAACTAACAATGCTTAGAAAGCATTGTCATTATGCAAAGTTTCAGTAAGCAGCTAAGCCCTATACCTTCCCAATGAGATATGTCTTCCTCCTTTTATGGATAGAGAAACAGAAACATGCTCATGAACATGCAACGGGGTGGTGTTCAGCAGTAAGAATAAAATGCAAGATTTTGCACTATCAAGTCAGAACTGTGACCACTGGGTCCTGCTGCTGGTTACAGCCTTAGTGCCACCCAGAGTTAGAGGAGAGGAGCCCCGGGGCCACTAACAGGCCTTACTGGCCCTGCCCAGCCCCACCTTGGGCCTCCCCACACCCCTGCCCATGGCCCAGGACCCCATTTCCAGTTTAGCCTGGGCTCATCAGTGCCTGCCCCAGTGGCACCACAGGAGTGCTGGTCTCCAGCCAGGCTTCCTGGATGGACCCCTTAAATGCATGTTGTAGCTTGTCTCCAGCTGTCCCGCCAGTCTCATCCCCTTTTGCTCCTGGATGGGATGGCCCCTGGCCAGGACTCATCACCTGCCATGTTGGGGCTGTTGATGGACCCCATTATCAGCGCCCAGTTCTGCACCTGGGCTCAGCCCCTACAGGATGGTGCCCAGACTGCCCTAACGAGAGACTGGACAAAGATCCCACAGAAAGTCCTAGAAATGCCCAACTGTCCCCTTATCCTGATACAGAAATAAAATAATAATTAAAAAAATCCCCAAATGTTGCTTCCCTGGCAACCAGATGGAGTACATCCAACTTCTCATCTGTGTAGAGGAGGAAAATAACCCCACTTTGTAGAGACCCCAGAATGTATAATGAAAAGGGCAAAACAGGAAATATTATGGAGGAGATAGCTAGTCCAAATACTAGAGCATTACTTGGATTTCCTGCTCTGGGCTTACAAAACACAATTTCGGATTTGAGTAGAAGATATTTTGAACAGCAGCTACTGTGTGAGAGAAGGTGCATGCAGGCATGAGGGAGAAAGGCAGCACGTGCTGAGACTAGGACTGGCACCGCCAGCCACTGCTGCTGCTTCCATCTGTACTGTGATAAAGAACCAGCAGCCTATGGAACATGCAGTGTCTATGATGCAAGGAAACCACCTCATGTCTTCCACAGACAGTATCCAGCCTTCAGAAACTATATAATACCCCAAAATTTCAGACCTCTGCCACTAATGAGTGACTTGCCTTCTTTTGCTCATCATTTGTTCCAGAGATCAGCAGTGAACTGCGGTGACCCGTGGAGATAAATTGCAGGGGAGAGAAGGTGTCAGGAGCCACTGCATCAACAGGTGATGAGAAAATGAGTACTGCAGTAATTTCAGACCCTTCACAGAAGTGCAGCTGCATGGTATCTATCCCAGCTTATCTAAAATAAAATTAGTTCCAGTAGCTCCTAAGAACATGCCATTAACACAGATCTTTTGCCAATTCCTAACTTGAGCAGACAGAGAAATGCTTAAGCCAGCAACTTACACAGATGTCCACAAATACTAAAACAATTGTCAGGAGTTACAATGGCTTAATTTTTCCTTGCCTTCCTCCTGCTTACAGTGAAGAGTTGAAATACAATTGCTTTGATAAAGGAGTTTAGAAGAGGAAATATTAAGCTTACTTTAACATGACACACTGCATTAAAAATACACCAGTGTTTCTATTGAAGTCCACAGGGTCCCCTCTACAAATATTCTACTACAGTTCTCCCTAATGTGGTGAAGAGAGATCCTTTTA